ATATATAGATATATAGATATAGATATATATATAAAATATTTATTTATTGAGCCATTCAGAGGTGGACTTGTCGTATTTCTGAGCATGTCCTGAAATTCTTCTTGATGATTTTCTGGTAGAGCTCCTCAGAAATACCTAGATACCAATTGTTAAAGAATTCATTAAATATACTGGATGTGAGCGAGAAAGGGGTATTTTTAACTCCACATCACATAGATCTCTCCTTTATCAATGCAATGGAAGATTTAAGATCAAGAAAGTGAACAGGAATGACAGCGGTAATCATAGCCTTTAAACTTTTGATTCAAGTGGAACATCATCAAGGAAATGGACTTTACAGTTGTTAATTCAAGGTAATTCTTGTTGGTTTAGAATGAATAAGAAGTTTTTAGTTTATATAATTTTTTCATGTTTTATGGATATCATGTTTTGTTATTATGGTATTTCCCATTTAAAAGCTTAGCAACTGACTAACTGAACTCTACATACAAATTAAGAAATAGTGACAATGTTGTGTCATCAGTCATGATTCCACTCCTGTAGTTTTCATTTTTTTTAAACAAACAAACATGTACAGTGTTTGTTTTAGACTGAACTGGAGAGTTTGTGTGACTTATTTTTTTTACTTAGTTAATAAATTAGTTATGAATAACGTTCATTGTTAGTGTAACTTTGTGAGTGAATTGTGGTTGTAGTGACTGTGTAATAAGGTTCTTTATAGTATAATACAAAGTAGGTCTCTTTTTATTCCCAGTAATGGAAGATTTAGGATCAATAACCTGAGCAGGAATGATAGTGGTAAATATACCCTTCAAACCTTCGATTTAGATGGAAAATAAACAGTTACCTGTTACCTTGAATGAACAGTTGTTCATTCAAGGTAATTTACTATTATGAATGAGTTCAAGAACTTGAAATTTAACATGGTTTTGAAAATCTATATGATTTAACTCACAAAAATACAGTATAACACCCTTTAATCAAACTGCCTGCAGCGATGGCACATGGAAAAAGCTGAAGTCTCTGCTGTCCCGCAAACGAGGAGATCCAGAGGACTCTGATGATTCTCCGATGATAGTTCTGATGATTGAAATGAGTTCTGCAACTTACACCAACACCTAGTTTCACCTTTTATCAACTGAAATTTGACAAAACAACACATTTTTGTTTATATTCTTGGCAAATTATGTTCCTCACTTAAGCACCTCATGCTGAATTAAGCTGTGAGGGTTTTCTGCATTTTTATTTGTGGAAGCTTTGATTACAAAGGTTGTGAATGTAATCTGAACTTGGTAAAGGTGGAATCAGTCAAGTCAATTTTTTTAATTCAAACATCTGAAACATTTAGTTTCACTAAGCTTTAAACAAGGATTTTTGTCTCAGAAGATTCGGGCGATTTGATTTTGTTTTTGTTTTTTTAAAGAGGAGGATGGCCTGAGACATTTTACTCAACTTCAGAACAGGAACATTAATGTGAAAATCTATGAAGTTCAGACACATGTGAGTCAACAGCATAGTGTGAATGTCATTTATCACCATGTGTAGTGTTGCCATGAAACAACATTAAAACCATAAACTTCAAAAATGAAAAATTACAAAACCCTTTTTAAATTGATGATGTATTTTCTTTGTCCCTTTTCTGTTTGTTTCTGATTTCTGTTTTGATTCATGTGGACTCTCAAGTACGGGTTTGCTTTTCTTTATTTCAGAAATTTTGTAAAGTTTCAAATAAGTAAATATTTGAATAAGATGGGTAGAGAACACAGAGACAAAAGACTTGACACACAGAAAAAAAGGGAAACAAAAAGAGAGACAAGACTAGAGTAAAATCACATAATGTTAACCTTTAAGTTAACTTTTGAACTCTTAATAATCTCATTATTACAAAATTTACCCTTTCTGGTAAAACATTAAATATTTGCTAAATTATGTTTGATCAATTTCATCTGTTTACAGAAATCCAAAAGAAGTGATAAAAGATTAGAAGCATTTTTACTGAATTCTCTTATTTCTTCAGGTGAATCTTTAAAGTAGACCATCTGAAAAATGTAACGTCACCAAGCTGATTGAATGGACAGTACACAACAGAGGTAAAGAAGAGAGTGCAGGTAGGGTGGAGTGGGTGGAGACAAGTGTCAGGGAAGATTTGTGACACAAGAATACAAGATACCACCAGTTTACAAGATGCAAGTGAGACCTGCTTTGATTTATAGTTTGGAGATGGAGGCAAGAGTCAGAGCTTGAGGTAGCAAAGTTGAATGTGTCAGGATGTTCATTGGAGTGACCTGGATGGACATAATCAGAAATAAGTATGTGGCAGCAAGAAGGAGGAGGAAACTGAAAAGGCAACAAAATGGTACTGACAACGCCACTTGGGGGTGGAGTTACACGCCAGGAAATACGACATTAACTAGTGCAAAGTTTCACCAGTTACAAAGGCACTCAGGCTCGTTACTAACGAGGCAGAGGCGTGACCAATCAATTTCAATAAGTTTATTAAACAAACTAACTGAAGATAATATGGAGCTGCACCAAAGAAAAGAGAAAATTAGGTGACAGGACTTAGAACACCACAAGGCATTTAATTAAAACACTTTATTACCAGGCATTGCTTAAAAACAACAAGATTTACTGTCACTGTCTTGCTCTAGTTAAAATAGCAGCTGAACAAAATAACTAATCAATAGGGTTAAAGGCAGGCCACTTAGAGAAACAACCTACAGAGCGGCAGTGCTACCAGTTGCTCACTCGTGATGTCACACTGCAGCTCAAGGGGTGCTTTTTACTCATATCCTGATGTTTACACTGACATGCATAAGAGGGAACTTCACCAAACACGCCTAGGCTGCCAAACAAGCAGCTGTCTCTCTACTAAAACAAAAGAAATTAAAAAATAACCTAAAAAACAAGTTCTAAAGAAACAAGGAACAACTCAGTGAACAATATGAAAGCAGAAGTTTCTCTCTCTCTCTCTCTCTCTCTCTCTCTCTCTCTCTTGCTGTCTATCACATTTTACAAGCTGCTGTTATTAATAAAAACAATAATAAGAACGAAACCTCTGCTGTGCCAAGTGTTCATAGTCTACACTTAAATATAGACGAGCAGAATATAACAAGAAGAATAATGGACTGGCTGTTCTTGGTAAAAGATGCATGTGTACCTTTGGTTTTGTATGGTGACCGTTTCTCTTGTTTCACTTCCTTCTACATACAATGGCAATCTGTTCTTTTATGGTGAAACACAACACTTAACCTCTATTTATGATAACATTTCAAAACCACTGAGTAACACGGGCATCATAAATGTCTGTGAATGTGTTTCAAGGTTTGATGAAATCTGTTATTAAGATGTATTAAATTAAACATGTCTGGCTTTATTATACACTCTGTTTTATGCCATCCCCATTAAACTTGCTTCCGCGTGCAAATAAACATATTTTAGTTGTCAGTGTAATTTAGCTGTAAATATTACAACTGTAAATGAAACGGCATTATTAGTTGGACAATAAAATTACATGATTAGTTTGGGGCTGTTGAATTAAATTTAAATTAAACTTTTCTCTTTTCTTTCTCTGCAGTTAAATTCTGGTCACATCCTGTCTGGTCTGAGTTCATACATACTTATCTGAAGCTGATCAGTATTGACAAGCAATGAAATTTATTGGCAACTGCTTTTAGTAATTAACACAAAAAAATTCTGAAGTAGCCACATCCTGCTTGGTCTAAATTTATATGTTTTGATCTGAAGGTTTCTCACCAACAGGAAACATGGTCAGTGTAGGTTGGGTCTGTTTGCATCACAGTAAAGCAGAAGAGCTGCCTGCGGAGTCGACTGATGCTGAATAGAGAAAAAACATGCAAGCTGTGTTTGTACTGTTCGTGATGCTATTAGGAGTCTCTTATGGTGAGCTGTGTTTACTTATTCAAAGCATGCAGCTGCTGTGGTAATAAGTACAAAGATTTTGATGTCGTCTTTAGTGTTACAGTAAGTTCTGCAGCTTACAGGTTGGTGGCATTGTGTTGATGCCACTGGGAGTATCTGAGGATGAGCTGTTCTGCTTTTTCATTTCATGCGGCACTTTATTGATACATACTCATCCCCAGACCAGACCACTTGACCTTTGTTCATGGGTCTAAAAAGTATATTTACAGTCAAATCATCTTGTTTTTATTCCAAACAAATGCTTGATATTTTAGATAACACATTTTTATATTTCAAAGGTTATGACTGTAATTTTAACTCGTCTATCTTTTAGCGAAAGTGGAATCAGATCATCGCTTCAAATAAAGTCATCTGACCAGTGGCACCTGTTTGTACGAAATTGTATTTGAGCACTGGTTTTTTATAATATACTAGTTTTTAAAATAACAACTACAATATGAATAAAAACAATACTGATCAATTCAGGCAGCACGGTGGCACGGTGGTTAGCACTGTTGCCGCACAGCAAGAAGGTCCTGAGTTCAATTCCAACATCAGGCCGGGGTCTTTCTGTGTGGAGTTTGCATGTTCCCCCGTGTTTGCGTGGGTTCCCTCCGGGTACTCCGGCTTCCTCCCACCGTCCAAAGACATGCAGCTTGTGGGGATAGGTTAATTGATTAATCCAAATTGCCACTAGGTGTGAATATGTGAGTGTGAATGGTTGTCTGTCCCTGTGTGTTGGCCCTGTGACAGACTGGCGACCTGTCCAGGGTGTACCCCGCCTCTCGCCCTATGACAGCTGGGATAGGCTCCAGCGCCCCCCGCAACCCTGAAAAGGATAAGCGGAAGCGAATGGATGGATGATCAATTCAATTGGTAAAATTATCTCAAACTTCGGGCCTCTTTAAAGTATAAAAAGGGATCAGATACACATTTTGTCACAGCCCGTATAATTTCATGTTATTCCACAGTTAAGATGGGGGAAAATAATTCTTTTTATGTTAGTAAATGTCAAATATTAGCTACAATACTTTTTTGCTAATGATTATTTACCACTAGAGTGCACATTTATGAAAAAAGAAATACTGTGATTTAAATCCTTCAGCAGTAGTTTTGAATCTGGATTAGTTTTTATAAGCATTTATTTCAAAAGCAATCAGAGATTTTGAAGTTTTGTTCAATTAAACTTTAAATGATATGAATGTTAAATGACCCCATGGCACCATTTATTCAACTAAAGCAATATTTAATTCCAACAGTACATTCTGTAATTTGTATAAATTCTTCTGTGATCGGCATTTTTAAATATAACATTAACCAGTGCAGTGCAAAGAATGTTCAAACCATTGTTGCTCAACATGCTGAACTATCTGTTTGACAGAGATTGAAAGCGTCCTACTTTCATGTTGTACTCTTTTTAGAGATGAAACATGTGCTATCTTTAATTTTGTGTCTATTTTTTCATCTAAACATATTTCTGAAATGTATCATTTCATTTTAAGTCTGGAACTTTTATTTCTTAGGAATTTAAATTGTTACTCTCATATATGAAATCTCTTTTTCATGAAGGTTAAAGGAGGAAGAAAAACTAATGTCAATTCATTCTCCTACTCTCAGCATGTGAGACGTTATTTACCACTTCACTAAAACCTAAAGCCAACGTTTTCATGATTTCTCCTTTCAGGCTGAGCACTAACAGTCTGTTAACTGCAGTCTGTTAACATCAGTAACATCACAGATTTGCTTATTTGAGAGAAAAGATTTGAAAGCTGCTGATTGAGTCAACATAGACTGAACAGTTGACATGGAAGCTGCAGTTGGACTGTTGCTGATGTTCGGAGTAGCTCATGGTGAGCAACCAAATTTTTTTTCATGCAAGGTTTCAAAAATGCTTATTTCATACTTAATTTCAGTACAATCAGAATTAGGTCTGAAAAAAAGTTACTTCTTAGTTTTGTCATGCTCCTTCATTCTGATGTTGCCGTCTCCTATCTGGATTTTAGGATTGCTTCATGTATCACAGCTGCTGGTCGGTGGTTATGTCTGAGTGGTTAATGGTTGGCTGTCTGTCTATGTGGAACTCAAAGTTCCACATGACCTTAGTTAGCACTGTTGTTCTCAACCACCTTCAGTGGGGTCTCCTATCGGGATTTGGGGATCATATGCAGCACAAATGTTCTTGTAGTTGGTTGTGCAAGTCAGTGTACGCTGTCCCAGCCCTGTTACTGTACGCTGCTCTGTCTCTGAGCCCTGTTAGATGTGACTCCTTCCTCTAAAATCTAGTGCTTAGGCCCTGTTCTTTTTCTTCCCTCTATCTGTTGATGATATATCTGCAGGTCAGTCATACATGATGGTCCCACTTCCTGTTCCTTATCACTGTCTGTCTTCAGCTGTTTTGGAGCAACTCACCTCAGGGAGCCATTTTTTATTTCAACAGCAGCTTCCACATCTGTTCACAGAGTCTCAGACCTTTGAGTGGAAATTGAAGAAATCAGAGGAAGGATGTTGAGTGGCATTGTGAGGAGTTTTCATGTCTCCTCTTGTGGCCAGTTTGTTATTCCAGTTTGGTATCTGATGACGTGAAGACATATATATTGATGGCTCACATTTTTTAGCACCTCTATTACTTTCTGGAGGTATTTGACTGTGTCTGACTTTATTGTGTCTTTATCATGTAGCTCTCATTAACCTGTTGGATACCCAAGCACTTCTTCTGTGTGTCCTGTATGTCCTTATGGCAACTCCACCCCATCAGTCTCTCTTTACAACCTTTTTGCCACATTTATAAAGAATGACATCCTAGCGTCCTCACTGTAGATCCTGGTGAGGTGGATCAGTGAGTCAGTGTTTCAGTCACTCCTGTCATACAGCATAATGTCATCGATGGACAAGAAGTGGCTGATGGTCACTCCACTCTGATCTTTGTGATATGGACAGTGCATCAAGTGTGGGATATTCCACATTTGATGGTGACTTGAGTTCTTAGTAAATGTCATTAGTGCAATATTAGCCTTGTATAAAGCCAAGCACACATAAATCCAGAAGCACTGAGTTGTAAGCCTCCTCAGGTTGGTCTTCCTGGTCTTATAGTTCTGGTGTACAGGTCTATTAACCATTACTTTGTGCTTTGATCTCCTTTTGTTACCACTTCTGATATCCTCTCTGAAACATTGCTTACATTTGTTAAATAGTGTTCAGTAAAGAGGAGACAAGAAAGCAGGGCACACAGCAAAAGCCTTCTGGCTAGAACTCAGGCTACTACATCAGGCATGTGGACATCTGTTCATCTACTGAGCAAAACTAACAACTATGACAACTTTATTTTTGTTTTGCAGGTGTGGAAACTTACTGTGATGGCAGACGGGATGGAGCTCAGTGTTATGGAGCTTTGGGAGGAACTGTGGACATCCAGCTGATGGAGAACACTTCAGAAATTAATAGATACCAATTATTAAAGAGTTCATTAAAAATATTAGATGTGAGAAAAAATACGGTTATTTCTAATACCATAAGAGAGAGAGCTTATTTTCCAAGTAATGGAACATTTAGGATCAATAAACTAAACAGGACAGACAGTGGTAATTATAGCCTTCAAACCTTTGATTCGGATGGAAAATCATCAGACGAGCGGATTTTACAGTTGTTTATTGAAGGTAAATGTTGGGAAATTAAGCCATTAATAGATGTAAATAAAATATTGTTGTGGTAATCTATACAATAATCTATACAATATATCTCACGACATTTCCCTGTATTCTATGCTTTCCCTATTCTTTATTAGAGACTCTAAAGAATTAGGGAGATTCTGATTTAAAATCTAAACTCATCTGTGTGTGTTTCTCTCAGCTCCTGTGTCCTCTGTCCTGCTGGACCCTGAATGTCTGTCCCAGGGAGAGATGAGGGTGTCCTGTTCCTCTGAGGGAGGGGACAGTCCTCAGTACAGCTGGACTCTGGATGGACGCACACTGACAGATGCTGAGCTCTTTTCTGGAAATAATGAGAGTAACATCATCACTCTGAAACAGCACGTCTCAGGACATCTGGTCTGCTCAGTCAGGAACAACGTCAGTAATGTCTCCAAAGAGGAGAGGATACCTACCTGTGGTGAGTGAGAACACTGTGATAATCACAAATATGATCATTTTGGTCACTCAGTCTTTCATTAATTATACGTTTTTGCTCTCAGGCTTCATTTTCATTAACTGCACTTCAGTCAATGGAACACAGATATCAGGGTGGGTGTATGAAGCCAATAACACCCTGTGTATTAAACCAACAACAGTCCCCAAACAAACTGCTACGTCTAAGGAGACCGCCGTAGTGTCAAATAAAAACCCCACTAAGATCAAACCCTTCAATCAAACTGTCAGCAGTGATAACCCATGGTACATTAGTAAGTGAAAATAACTTTGCTACACTAGACTGACTAATGGCAGTTTCTCATTATTTCTTTGTTTGTCTTCATAAAAACTCAGACTTGCTGACTTGTTTTTGTCTTATTCTGTCCTTTTTTCAAACAGCCTATTTACCACTGATCGGTGGTGTTCTCTCAGCACTGCTCATTTTGTTAGTTGTGGGTGTAGCAGGTGCCTGTGAACACATCATAAAGCAAAAAGCCAAACCTACAGAACAAAGAGGTACAAAACTTTCCATTTCCCCACTCCACTTTGATTAATTAAACATATATAATTTTTTTTTTTTAATTAATAAACCTTTTTGCTGTCTTGCCAAGAGTTTAATCATACCTCTGTCATATGTCAGTCAAATTTGTTGGTATGGCTAATCAGCTAGCTTTAACACAACAACTAAAAACATGGGGAAACAGCTCAAAAAACGGCAACCCGTGAGTTCACCAATGAAACATTTTGAATTCGTTTTAAAGTGCACTAGTTAGAATCACACACACTGCCTTCAACCTTTGTGGTAAAACTAATCAACTGTTCCAGCAGCAGACATGAGAGTGAAAGTTCTTCTTTAAGTCAAACCATTCCTGTACTAATACACTGACTGTAACATTATGTTTGTGCCACCTCTTCCTACTAATTTGCAGCTGAAGAAGATGACCAGGAAGTAACCTATGCTCATGTCATTATCACGAAATGTCAGAGGAAGGATGCTGAGCAAAGAGCAGAGGCGGAGGTGGAGTATGGCCAAATCAAGTTTTCAAGCAACAGAAGATGATTTAAGTGGTTGGAGCTTTTACACCGACTGCACCACTGACAGCAGACCGAAGGAGGAGGTGACATCAAGATGCCAAAAGGTTGTTGCTTAATGCAAGTCTGTGGCTGAAACACAGCTAATGTTCCAGCTAACAGCACATAAAGAACAAAACAAATATGAATAAATTAATGATGACTGAATTCTGTTCATACACTTTAGCTTCCTGTGACACCTTCATGGGCTACTTTGTCCCTACTATAACAACAACAACAACAACAACAACAACAACAACAATAATAATAATAATAATAATATTCATCTTTGGCCTGTCTTTAGATTTATATCTGGGGATCAGCCCCCTCTGCTCTAACAAATGCATGTGTCTTAATAAATCTGGATAAATGTGAAGCAAACATTGTATATAATAACATGGGAAGAGAAGAGAGAAAAAATCCTTATGATATTGTTCTGGTGGACTAACGCAGAAAGTCTTCATTTGTTTTTCCTCTTCTGTTCTCAACCACTCTTTGAGATCAGTGTTTGATAACCACCAAGAAAGAAGTGGTTGCAAATTCTGTCTAACAAACACCATTTTAACCTTACCACTGTGCTCCACACTCGTGTCCAGGTGTCCCTGTTGCTTGACGGTCAGGATTTTAAATGGTCATATTTGACTTTAATGTTTGAATCCAGATTTTAAACATCCTGTCATTTGCATAGGAACATGGCTATTTCTATAGGTGACCGACTTCTCTCTGTGTGTTGTTCTCTCATTATTACAACTGAAACAGTTTCTGAATGTGTGCTGTCAGTTGTTTTATAAAAGAAGGCAAGATATAAAATACACATTTTACATTTTGATGTACACTTGTATTACTATACTTTGAACTGTGTTTTTACCTTAATTGTACATATGTGGCTTTTTTAGGAGAATGGAACCTGTTTTGGGGAAGATTTCTGAAGCTTTTGAGTAACACAAGTAACTCTTATTTGTATCTTTTGTTATAGCAATTAGTTTGCATGTTTTTTACAAGTAGACGAGACTTCTGTTTAAGTATGTACGACAAAGAAATCATATGTTGCAGCAATTTTCACATTAGTTGTTTAAAATAGTAATTCTGAGTAGTCTTTACAAAGTGAAGAGTAGATGTGACTTATAATAGCCAGTACTCACTTACAGTTTTTATCTTTGCAAACAAAATATCACTATTAAGCTCAGTCTTTAATTTCACACCATTATAAACCAGTTTTAAGTTTGTCTAATGTGATTCTAAATTTAGACAGGCCTGATGATGCCATGATCACAAGCAGTATTGATTCAAAAGCCTTTGGTGACCGCTAAGAAGTGAACATAACTTTAAACTTATCAGTAAGAAGATGTGGAAGTTTCCCTTCTTGTTCCATGGTGCTTGTTGTTGTTGTTCCTTAAAGATGTTTGTTTAATAAAGCTATTAATTAAAGCTTCTCAATAAAAACATGCAGTTGTCACTCTCAGTTAGGCAGAGGACTCACTCGCAGGACTCTGATTTTTAGAGAGATGGTGAAGGATTTATTTATGTGGCACCAGGTGAGAATATATACATATATACAGTGGAACAGGTAATACAGGGCTCCAGGGGGTTTGGGGGTCCGAAGGTGAGGGAAGGTCCAGGGAAGGCACACACTCTCCTCTTTTACAGTCTGTGATTCACTCAGGCAGTCCAATCATGCTCATGCCCACTCACACTCATCCACAGGAATCCAGGCAGCAGGAGAGATGGGCAGGGAAAACTATGTTAGAAGGAAACTCTGGGAAATGACAAAAGATACTCAAGAGGCAAGGCGAGGCTAGGCTAGGCTAGGCTAGGCTACACTGACACTAGGTAGTGCAACAATCCATCGAGGAAGTAGCATCTCCTGCCGTCTTAAGTAGTCTGCCAGGAAAAATGCTTGCGATGAGAAGCCAGAGCAGAATCAGTGTGAATGAGCCACAGATGTGCTGTGAGGGCAGGTTCAGAGGCGGGGAAGCAAAGTCCAGTTCTGCCTTGTTGGAGAGGCTGAGACAAACACACACCACATCCTCTCCAGATCCTGAGAACCATGACAGCAATGCTCTAAACAATGATGAAGCAATGTAAAACATGCATGCAAAGCATTATTTAACATTAAATCCTAAGTCTTGGGCAACCGCAATGACACCAACAAACACCAACAAAATAGAGAAAGAACCTGACCTTCAGACCACACTGCAACATAAAAAAGTGTTAATACACATATTTTACTCTTTGTTATCTCTGAATCTGTGATGAGGTACTAATAAGTTACTAAACTCCTTCCTCCTACACTAGTACAGTATCATTGGGGACGCACAAATAATGATTCTGTGCAGTGCCCCCTGGCATAAAAGACAAACATCACAGTGCCCAATTCTTTTTTCTTATTTTGGTGTCTGCCTTTAGGGGTCACCACAGGCGATCATCTGCTTACATCTCACCCTGTCTCTAGCATCCTCTCCTATCACACCAACCCTCTGCATATCCTTCTTCAGGATATCCATGTGTTTTCTCTGTGGTTTTTTCATTTTCTTTTCCCCTGGCAGCTCAATCTTTAACATGTTTTGTGAAATATAGCCACTATCCCTCCTCATGTTTAAACCATCTTACCGCACGCAAAATGCAAAAAATAGATGAATAAATGTCCTAAAATGTTTTTAAACAATACTGTAATTTTAGAAATGAGTGATTTAGGAAGTTGAGATAAATAAGTAAAAATAAAAATGAATAATAGTTATTGTTTTTTCAACACAGTTGCCAGAGCTATAGCTTTCACAGCCATCACGCTATCACAATAGCACAGAAATAAATATGAGACACTGAGTTCGTTCTGCTTGTAAAATTAAAAAATAAAATCAGATACACAAACCTGTTAAGCATGGACTGAGTATGTACTTCACTGTACTTTTATTTTGTTAAGGTTTAATGTACTGTAGTTTCAAACTATTTGGTATGGGAAAATGTTGCTGTACTGGTGGATTTCTTTAATATTGTAAGTTCTTGACATTAGTGTAAAGTCTTTTGTGAAGGAAAATACAATAAAAGCAAGGACAGTGTAACGAAGCAATGATAAAGTCCAAACCTTTCCCACTAGAGGGCGACATTGTGTAAAAAAATACTGAAAATTGTCATGCTGCTATTCCCACAATAGGAGAAAGAGGGTGATTTGTACCCCTTGTTTCTAGTGAACCATAGAAGAAATCAGTCATGTGACTGCACATTTTTGAAGAGTCAGCCATTTTACTAATCCTGCAAATAAGAGAACCTCATTGCCTGAGAATTAAGAATATTTAAGTTCAAAAACGATTTTTGCCTTTCAAGGTAAAATTTCTGTGATCAAGGTTTTTTGATTGTTTTGTCTAAACAGTTACAGACAGGTTTAAAAACATTTCACAAATGTTTTAGTGCTCTGGTAAGCTACACTGTGAGTCTATATGGTGTGGTGCTTTGTGCCCAACTTATGAATATTTTAAATATATTCTTTTATTGAATGTACCCTGCCTCTCGCCCTATGACAGCTGGGATAGGCTCCAGCGCCCCCCGCGACCCTGAAAAGGATAAGCGGAAGCGAATGGATGGATGGATGAATGTTTTATTATTATTATTATTATTATTATTTACAGTTTTTCACAGTGACATTCTTTATTTCAGACCAAAAATAGAAATAGACCATCATGCCATTGAGTTATAATAGGGAGGACAGGCAGGGCTTTCACTCCTTTACAGGACATGGACAGAGTGAATGAGGTGAGAAGGGGCGAGGAAGATGAACATATTCATGATGACATTAAAACAATATGTGGAGAAGAAAAAGATAGATGGAAGAGACATAAGGCTATAAAAGGATATAAAAGATCTGGACTTGTCAATCAAGTGTTATGGAGAGAGAGCTGGCAGAACATATGAAGGCACTAGCAGCCTTTATGTGTTCATTACTTTGTGCATACTCAAAATCCAGTTCATGGTATTTGAATATGCACAAAGAAATGACATTTTGATCCAGCTAGCAGGGATATCAGAGGCAGGTTGGGTTAAGTGTCCATTTAAGGAAAAGTATATAGGGAACAATAATTATTTCCCCTGGAAATGCTGATTATCAGTTATTAAAATGCAGATAGTTCACAAAGAAGTAAAGTTGGGTACTTATTTAGAGTGTATAGCTTGACATATAATTGAAAGTAATTGTGATTGTCATTATGACGTTTGCAGGCAAAATCAAATCCTACAACTACATGGATTGGTTGATGGTGCTGACTGACACTGGTGCAAAGTGTTTAAGGTGAAGTAGTAATAGGTCTGTGAATGGAAAGCCCATCTTCACTTTCAAAGAAAATTTTGACGGAGTCATCCCTCGAGAAGATGTGCATAAAAAAAGAACTACCCACACCACAAAAACTTGGTGGTACATCCAGAAGGTAGCAGTGGGTAGCTTCAACAAGTTCATTTGGTCCTTGGCCATTTTTAAGAAAACTGACTTTCGATGTGCTCGTGTGGCTTGTATAAAATTGGCCTTTGATATTGTAAAATAATTTTAAATAAACCTCAGATAAGTCGTTTTGTGATTTGTCTAGCTTTTATATAGCATTACAGTTTCTGAGATCAAAATATGCTGGCTCAATTTACCCCAAGGTATTCTCTCCAAAGACGCAACTTACCCTGCATCGGGGTCAAGTTGTGCCACAAGAGCACTTTTTTTTAAGAAAGCTGTATTTCTTAAATACTAAATTTCAGAGCCACAGTGATTGTTCCCAGGGATGTACAACATCCTCAAATATATGTACATGTTTTAGTTGGAAGCATTACTATCATGGCCTCACTTTAAGCAAAATCTTAAAGTGAGTTGTGCCAGTTTTTACTTTAAGTAAAACCCACCCCACTCTCCCCTATTTATGTTTTAAAACTCAAATAATAAAACTCCAAATATAGAAGTTTTCACCATCCACAAAATATATTGTGCAGTATGTCTAAAAACTTATTTCACATTATGAAACAGTGATTAGTTCAGTTAATATGGTTTTATGTTATCACTGTACAAGAATTAAAAGATATACACCAAGATGCATTTCATGATTATTTTGCCACGTAAGCATTGATCACATTGTTTTTCCACAAAGTG